CTGGAGGTCATTATGCTGAGTGAAATAAGTCAATTGCAGAAGGACAAGTACTGTATCAGCCCATTACTGTAAAAAGACAGAGAAGGGTTTGCTTGGGAAAGAGAATTCACCTAGTAGGTTACCGGGATGGGGAGGGAAAGGGAGGAATTAATTTCGGGCTAGTTGGGGCTTACACACTGACGTGGGTACGGGGAGGGATATATGGGAAGGATATATGACCACCATAACAACATTGGGAAATGAGAGGACACCGAACTGTGCACATAAGAGATAGACAACAGATGCTAATACCAACCAATGTATCCACAATGCCACATTGCCATTAACACCAAACACTAGGCTATACAGATAAACACAAACACCTGAGATAATCAGACGGAGGGGTCAGTGAACAGAGGTATACTCTAGACCAAGGGTAGATTCAGCTGAGGCTAATCTTGCACAGACACCAGTGATAGAAAATACCTGCAGTCCTTACAGAAACAATAGAAGGACAGACAGAGTAATCCCTCACAGACATCCAGACACTGTGGGAGAGAGATCCAATACAGCTGCTGCCTCAGAACCATAGTACTGGGGGACACCAGACTCAGTTGGCACAAAATACATAAAAGCGTTGCTCCACAGAAATTGAAAAATAAAAAGATATAGCTGTAACCCCCAAAATTGTACATGTACATTTACATGTGTGTATGTGCATTTATTTACATGTTCGATTTATTTTACTTTAAATGATAAAAGCCAAAAGCACTGCTAAAATTTTCTTAAATCTATGTTCCATATAAAAACTGAAGTCTTTTCTTTCTCCTTTTGAAACTGACCTTAACAATTCTGCATATTTATGATACTGTCAAGTAACTGACGACTTCTTTTCCAGCCCCCTTCAAGAAATCGGCGAGAGCGTGCTGAGCTGAGGCCAGACTTCTTTGACTCTGCAGCTATCATAGAAGACGATTCAGTAAATGCTAACTTATTACTGTTCTTTATTGGTGGTTTTTGAGTCCTATTTATGCATGATATTAATAATAATCGTTTCTCATTACTTTCCTAGGGATTTGGAATGCCTATGTTCTGAAGTCTGAAGATACTTTACAAATCTGGAACTCTATTATTTAGAGCTAGAGGCCTATATACTGTGATAGCTTGTGTGGGGAAAAAACACTTTTGATGTGATCTGATTTGTTTTTTAATCAAATGATTGAGGTCAATCCCTTTTTGCAGTGACAGAGAAGAGGAGCATGTATATTACCCCAAGAGAATTCTGGCAAATGTCACCTCAGAAGGACTGACCTGAAAAATCATTTGTGTCCTAACATTGGACTTATCCCAAATACAGATGAGTGTGTTTTTCTGGAGGGAGGAAGAAATTTTAAATTTTTAAAAACAGCTGTCAAGATAAACACTGTTATACACCTGTTTTATGAAAACTCAGCACTGAGTAAAAAAAAAAATATTTTTAACTTTATTTTCCTGTTGTACAATTTAAAAACCGTTTTAACATTTTGCCTTTTTATGTTTTAAGAGCTAACCATTTTTATTAAACTTACGAGTAAGCAGCTCATCCTGATTGCCGAAGAGTGTGTTGGAGCTCACTGGATGTGGTTGACCTTGTGGAGCACAGAAATACAGAGGAGCAGGACATTGGAAAAGCAAAGACGATTATTCTGACACAGTGCATCTCTGCCAAAAACCACAAACCCTCTGTGGATATGGATATAATTCCCCAATTTTATATACTCTTGAATAAAAAAGTTTATTTTTATTTATAAGGGGCATATAATAAGAAATGTCCCTACAGCCATTTTTCCAACAGATGCTGTGCACCATTCATTTTATATAGAACAGGGAGAGTCAAATACAGTACATTTTCTATTGGTATTTGTTCTGTGCATTTTTAGCAACTTCTACCAGCAAATAAAGTATTCTCAGTAAAACAAATGGTTCTCAAGTTATCAATTTGCTGTTTTTACCACTTATTTCATGCCCTGCCAAATTCAAATTACAGACTTCGTTTTCTTAAGATAATCATGAAGAAATTCTAATCACTTTGCCATTCAAAAGTAATTTTAAGTGTAACATAAATGTGTCTACTTCCCATGCACTTAATACCCTTATGCGCTAATTTTGTGAATTAATTTTACCGATTATAGAAGTATGTGCTGCATAGAAGTCTGTGCTTAGAGGGTGAAGTGTTAAGCTTACCTTGAAATACAGCGACATCTCAGTGTTAAATGTGCATATTAAGAATAATTTTTTTGGGGAAAGAAATTGCAAATCTTCAGGACAGTCTTCAGTGGTTTAGTTACATTCTCCTTAGACTTTTATGACTTGCTGCTATTGTTGTTTTTAAAAAGCCCACTTAGTTTCTTCCTTTTTGATTTTTAAAGTAAGCCTCAGAGTTTCTAAACCAATCCATCCACAGCTGTTTCTGGGCTGGTTTTTAAAGTAGCTGCAACAGAATCATGAGGCTTTCTCTTTTTACCAAAAATGAAACACATTTTTTAAAAATCTGTACACTCAGTGATTACCTTTTGTGAGGGAAAGCAAAATTGATGATTTTATCCATCCTTTGGTAAACAGTTTTTCCTCAACATTTGTACAGTTCTGAAAAAAACTTGGTCACCAAAAATGTTTTATCTGCTAACTCAGCAATTCCTGGGCTCCAGTTAGGGGGGCTGGGGTGTCACTTTCTTCCAGAAATATGGGCTTCACTGGAAGAGAAAAGTCGAGAATGGACTATCCATCACGCCAGCCCTGCCTGTCGTTCTGGCCAGGGAACAAGCCACGCACCTGGCATGTCCACAGACTAGTCTTTTGCTTGACAGTCTCATGTGGAAAACAAATGCTAACTTAGAACTGTAGACTACCATGCAACAAAGAAAGGCTTAATATCTACTCCAATGGGTTTCCAGTTCAGTTTGAGTCAATCGAATTTTTGTATTTTCAGTGTCTCCTTGATTGGTTTTGCTAGTAATTCTGTAAATTGTACATTTGCAATATGAGGTTTTTTTCCTTTTGTACAATTTGAAACTGATGCTTCACCTTTCCTTTAATAAACTGTTCAAAATCACATGTGTGGTGGTCATCCGATTACCCTACTACGTAAAGCATTAAAGGCCATTTCCTGACCTTCTGCTCTTGGGAGAGGTTGCTGCTTCAATAATTTTTTAAATGATGGCAAGGTTATCAGTAAGGTTTTTAAGAAAACATACATTTAGAACTAGCTCACCAGTTTTCTTTCATTCCTTGTATTTTCCCAGAGAGAGAGAGAGAAGGGAGTAGGTAGGCTGAGTCTTCTGTGGCTGAAGAGTCTCTCGCAGGCCGAGTTTAAGATGAGGCATTCAGGGATCATCCACCAGCCTACAGCCTGGGCCCTTCAACCTGAGACCCAGACCCTGGGTTTTTATGGTCAGTTGCCCCTAGGAGTGGCCCTTTGAAGACCACGTGGATTACACACAACCCCAAAAGCAAGGGTTTCTCTTGTCACTGATGCCAGATCTCAAAAGAAGTCACACCCTACACACTGTCAAGGCCTAGCAGTGTTCTTCAGGTGAGCTCATTAAATGGTCTGAGATGCCTGTGGCAGAAAAGACAGGAATGTGGGGGATAAATTAGCAAGGGGGTTCACAGTTAAGGAGGGAAGATGATGAGGTCTGTCACTGTGGCTGCTGATCTTGAAGCTTATGAGACTGTGACAGTTTCTTGGAACAAGTTGCACAACTCCCAGCTGTGACCTGACTCCCTGCTTACGAGTCCATCGATCAAACTCTTCATGAGAAACCAAGGCTTCTCAGACCAAACTTAGAAAACTGCATCCCTGCCTAAGTGCTTTGCTTTGTGGGGTTCTCTATCAGGCATCACTTTTTGAAGGTCAGCTTTCTATTCCCAAAGGTACACAAAAGAGGTGCTTCTCACCATCCAAGATAGAAAGAGCATGGTCAGAACTTCAGTACCAAGGCTGCCAGGTTGCTCGAGTATGCTGGCTAGATTCTACAGTGACTCCCAAACCAAGGCCTTGCCCATCCAACTGGCTGGAGCTCCTGCTTGGAATAGTGGGAATCCCATGCTGACATCAAGGGCACAAGAGCATGAGGACCAGCAGTTCTTACTTGGAAGACTGAATACACAGAAGCACATAACGTATTCACAGTGGTCAAACTGGTGAACTCTCAAAACTGGTTCAACAAGTCCATCAACAGTTGATGTGAACTCAGTGTGTAGGTGGGTGTCTTTCACAGGTGTGTCTAGCTAGACAGACCACCTCTCCTGCACCAGCAGGAAGCATGTAACAGTGCATTGAGCAGAAAGAATTGGGGTAGGGAGACCAAGACATGGTCAGAAGTTAGAAGCTGTAAAATATTTTTGCAACACAAGCACTTTGTAACAAGCACTGGAAGACTGCAGTTGAAGGTACTCTCCATTACTCTAGCAACTCAAAAAAGATGACTTCCTAGCACTGCTGTACAGAGGATTTTATGCAGAGGTAGGAAGCTTTCCAAATTCAGTAGCTCTCTGAGTTTAGAGACAACACCAATGGAGTAGATCACCACTTCTCTCACTACTCTTACCACAACCTTTAGGAGTTCATCCCATTGCCTCTTCAGTTGAGTAGCAGTATTCAAGACTGGAGAGTGCACACAGGTTTGGGATCAGATAAACCTGTTTGAGTTTCAATCCCGGCTTTACCACTTAATGACTATATCAAGCTCAGGACAAATTCCTAACTCAGGCAAGTCCAGCAGGACCTAATAGTGTCCTCTACTTCCACCACAACCCCACCGCACTATTTGTTCTCAGTCTAAAGGCAGACACTTGCCAGCTCTCTGCTCCACTAACCCCAGTCCTGTTACAAAATTCAACATTTTTCTTTATCCCCTTAAGATGAGACCACCACTTGTGAAAGCCATTCATTCCCGCACAACAATGACAATACTCACTGCCACGTTCTCAGGGCTACAGAGGCTGCTCCACTTGACAAAGCTTCCTAAGATCTTGCAGCTTCATGTTTCCTTGGTCTCAGCTGGGTTTCTGAATGGGATTTTCCCCACCATCTTTGCTTCAAGACTTCCCAGGAGCCTCTCTATCCCAGGTGCCTTGCCAGACTGAATTTTCTCTAACCCAAGTAACTCGACCTCCTGCAGCAGGCCCAGGCACAAGCCATTCTTGGCATCAACCTGGTAAAACATTTCTTGAACTCCTTGATCCAAACAATTAAGAGTTTGTGTCTACTCTTGTTTTTACCATATAGTACAGTCATCCACAAGGCAGGGTCTAAATCCTAGCTTTGCTAGCCCTAGATATTGGATTGGTCAGACACTGTTGAGCTGTTGACCCACAAGCTGACCAACTTATATGACTCTTCCAGGAAGGCTCTAAAAGCCCAGCAGTTCACCACCACCCTTCCTCAGTTTCCAGTGGCTTACACTCATTCCTATGATTCTTATAAATGAACCTCTGGTCAAATAGAATATCTGGCCCCCTGGAGCTTATCACCTAGTTGGGAAGACAAGAAAAATGTGTTTAAGTCCAAAAAAAAAAAAAGGAAATGCATAATCAGGTACTTAAAAAAATACCTGCCATAAGAAGAATCAGTTTGTGCTAAGGAGTTGGGATTAACTAACAGAGTCAGGCCTCTGTGCAGGAATGTATTCAAACCAAACCAAATTCACTGCCATTGAGTCATATCCGACTTGTAGCAAACTCTCCTTGGGTTTCCAAGGTGGTATCACTACAGAAGTAGAGTGCCCAACCTTCCTTCCAAGGAGTGACTGGTGGATTTGAACTTCCAGCCTTCTGATTAACAGTGAAATGCCTTAGGCACTACACCACCAGAGTTCCCAGGAATGTATTAGAGCCATTCAAAACACAAGGGTGTTGCAATATGGAGGTAACTGGTGGCTTAAAAAACAACCCAGGTAAGCAAGGAAAGACCAGACCAGAAATTTCTGTGTGAGCAAAAAAGCCCACAGAGGACAGTGCCATCTACTGAAAATGCTGGAGCAGGGGGAATGCAGCAAAATCTGGACCTGGAGTTAAGTCTTCTAGCTGCAAACAGGCCTTACTGTTCAGGAAAAGACCACAGAATAGACAGACCAGAGGGGAGACTGCTGAAAAAGTGCCCAGAGTCCAACTAGGATAGTGACTGAAGAAAAGAAGTTTCCTGAAGGCCAAGAGAGCACAAAAACAACAACAAAAATCCAAGGGTGGAAACCTGGCTATCTGGAATGGTGGGGTTGCTGGTGGAAAGTGATAGTCACATATTGGTTTAGGTCAACTTAGAGCTATGGAAACAAGGGAAGACCATCAGTGGCAAGACCCAAGGCTCTCACCGTAGAGGAAAGCCCACCCAAGGCTGTCACCACAGAGGAAAGCCCACCACCCCTGCGGGAACCCTGGAATGGAACACCATGGCTTGGCCTATATGCTGAAACCACTTAAAATCTCCAGTCCTGGTATAACTGTTAATGCTTTACATATTCAGTAAAATAAAGTCAAGGATGGTGAAACCTCTGAAGTGGTCTACAAATAGAAACAGAGGCTCGAGTTCTATCAGATTGATAACATAACCACTCGGTTACTAACCCAAGTAAACTGACCATGTATCTCAGTTTAAAGACAAAAACAACTACCAAAAAGAGAAAAAAAAAGTCTTACTTTACTTGAGAAGGTTTATTTTTGATAGTACTATGGTTGCAGAAATTCTGACACTTCTGTACTTATATTAGGACTGAGCAAATGAGTAAATACATTGATGATAATGGAAACCAACTTTCTCACTGTGGAAGAAAATAAATATGGAATATGGACAACAACCTGTTGTGTTGGATTGGATTTAAAAGTGTCTATGAATTCAGGATTTGGAAAAAAAAATATATATATATATGAATATATATCTCACATACATGTATCAATCACATACATTTATAAATATTACACATTTATATATACCCCACACAGATACATGCACATACATGTGTAACTATTTCCTAGTTCTGTCTGCTAAAAATGCCTAGAAAGAAAGACACCCCAGTATCAATGTGAACATCTAGTGGGCTCCTTAGAGAAATGGCTGCTTCCAGGGTTGAGACAAGGAAAATATATGATGAACCTGGACCATCATCTTGTGTCAGAAAATAAGGAAATGCTCAGAAAATTATGGAAACATCAAAAGGACCTAGGAGCCAACTTGTAGGAACTCCCAATGGCCAAATTAGCACAACGAGAGCATCAAAATGAATAGTTAGTAGTGGTTTATACTGCATTGAATTTAAAAGAATCCATGAGTCCAAATTATACTTTTAATAAAAACAAAAGCAAAGAAAAAGCTCTTCCTTACAGCAGAGTTTCAACTAATAAATATAAACATAACAACGGGTTAGAAACTCAACAAGTTATTATCAACATAGAATTACCAACAAAGGCAAGAATCCTAAATGAATACTAAAATTATTGTACTACACCTTTATGAGGATCTAATTTGCTACACTCCTGGGGGACAGGGGGAACCCTTTGCCATCAAGTCAGTTCCAACTCCATCAGTTACAGAACTGAGGCGCCATATGGTTTTCTTGGCTGTAACCTTAATGGAAGCAGGTCACCAGGCCTTTCTTTTGTGATGCCACAGGGTATGCTGGAACTGCCAACTTTCTGGTTAGAACTGAGTGCAAACTATTTATGCCATGTAGGGTCCTGTGCTGCTAGACACACGTACATACAGTTGCAAACATCTTGTTTAATACTCAACAATTCTTGTGAGAATTGAGGGATAAAGCCAAAAGCCAAACGAGGTTGCTGTAAAGTCAATTCCAACTGATGGCAATGCCTTATGTTTCAAAGTCAGAACCAGGCTCCACAGCATTTCCAGAGACTTTTTGGAAGTAGAGCGCCAGGCTTTTCTCCCAACAGTTTTCAGGTTGCGTTCAAATTTGCCAATCTTCAGGTCAGGAGTCAAGCTCCTAAACGTGTACCACAGAAAGCCTCCTAAGAGCAGAGCTCCAACTAATAAATGCAGACATGGTGATGAGGTTAGAATTCAACATGTTATAATCAACACAAAATGACTGACTGAGGCAAGAATCCTAAATGAATACTAAACTTACTGTGCTACACTTTTCTGAGCATCTATTCTGCTAGACACACACACATACAACTGCAAACATTTAATACTCAATTCTTGGGGGAAACTAAGGGAGAGAGTATATTATGTTATCCCCACTTTAAGAAAGGAAAATGAGACCTAAGAAATACTCTTCCTGACAAGCATATTATCTTACCTATGGAGGGAAAAAAATTCCTGGGTGAAAAAGGGAAGATGATATATTGACATGTCAATAAGTGTCAGCTCTGGGAGATAATACCGTATAATAGTTTTTCTAGATTTTTGATTTTTCATATCTCTACCATAAAAAAATGAAATTTATCATTTAAAAAATCAAGCTTTTTAATAAAGCAAATGATTTTACATAAGGTTTAAAGAGACTTTTCTAAAAATTTAATAAACTTAAGTCATTTCAAGTTATTACAGGTATTTCGATTCCCAGGTCCAAGACTGCAAAAGTCAGAGAGGGGGTGTGAATGGCCAGGCAGTAATTTAGTTCTTGTTCGTTTTCCTTTGATTTGTTTACAGTGGGATATTTGCATGTTTCCTCCAAGGACGCTGCACCTTCTTGCTGGCCAAGACATCCAAGTCACAGCAGATTCGGGCACGAGTAAAGGAAGGTTGGATGATGTCATCAACAAACCCTGAGAAAGCACAGAAAGGAAGTCAATCACAGGCGTCCACAGATAATACCCCCTCCACATCCTGTGCCGAGCCTAGGCACCATCGCTGGGCTGACAGTGTGAGCGGGGCCCAACCTAACAAGGGCTGGGTCCTATGAACACTTCTTCCTAGGGAGCAACCCTATTCTTCTGTACATCCCCACCTTCCAGTCCAGGATCACTTGGCAAAAAAAAAAAGGAACATCAGACCCCCTGCCTGCTTTGTTTCAAGGCTTTCACCCTGCCAACATGAACAGAAAATTAAAATTAATATCTGTATTTTCAAAACTGACTATTAAAAAAAAAAAGGCAATTCCTTACATCCTGGACACAAGTCCTTCTGCAATATGATTCTGTCTCCTCCCACCAAGGGCAGCAGCCTCTTTATTCACCTGACTCTGTGACATACAAAGGCCAATAGAATATAGCAAAAGTAACAATGTACAATTTCCCAACCTAGGCCTCAAGGGGACTTGCAGCTTCCCCATCACCCCCTTACCACCCTGAGGACACTATATAGCGTCCCAGGCTAACCTCCCTAAGGATCAGACACCACGTGGAGGAAGAACAGTCAGCAGCAACAACGTACATGAGGCCATCTTGGACCATTCAACTCAAGCTACCAGATGACCAGTATTGCATGAATGATCCCAGAGCAGTCAGCAGACCAACCAACCAGCTGAGTCCAGACCAAACTGCTGACCCTCAGACCATGAGCAAATAAAAAAAAAAAAATAGTGGTGGTTTTAAGCAACTAAGTTTTGGTATGATTTTTACAAAGCACTGTATAACTGGAACACAGAAATCGTGTCATTCAAGCCATGTTACTTTGTTACTTTGATAATGGTAGTATATAGGCCCCTTGTACTGAATTGATGATTGCCTAGGAACAGCCTCAATATTCCCCAGTCTCAATTTGAATGCAAAGGCAAAAGGAGTTACGTGAGACTTTGAGGGGTGTAGGAATGAGCTAGTCACTGAACAAACGAATAAAGCTGCCCTCCCCACCATGTCCCCTACCTCTCACTGCAGCAGGAAAAGGGTTGGCAAATTTCTCAATATATTCTTCCTGAGCAGCGTCCACATTATCACGCCCTTTGAAGATGATCTCCACAGCACCCTGTACAAGAGGAGTCATGAAACATCACTGGAGGTTCCAACCTGGGCCAACCTGCAACTCACTGTCATTTATGTATGGTTGCAAACTTCTTGGTCAAAGCGTATTGTGGTGGTTGTTAACTATTTCGTCAATCAAAGTATTGGAGAGAAGAGAGAAGTGCCACCTTCAGGAAAAAAAATAGCACATAGGCACACATTGCGGGGGAGGGGGGCAGCAATCACCATGACCCCAGGGCTGTGTGACAGAACGCTCAGCTGTGGCCTCAATGAGCAGCAGCACAGGCAAAACGTGGCCACTGGCCTCTCTCCCAAGATCCCTTCCTACCCGATCTGCATCATCATCTTTCTTTCAAGCCAAGATCGTCCACAGTTAGATCCATGGCACCTGCATTAAGGGCAGTAAAGTACTATTTTCTCTTTCCTCATCATTTCAGTGGCCAGAGGTCAGACTCAACTCCAAATTTAGAAGGATGTGGGGCTAGAGGATGGCCCTTCAAGTTAGAACCCCTCAAAGTCCATTCTGGGAGGCCCTGGGAGTTATTTGGATCAACCCCAACAGCCATTTCAAAGAAGGAAAGGAATGAGGCATAGGTCCAACAACTCAAGGCCACCAGGGTCAAAGCTACAGCTCAGCTTCTTACAGGATGAAACAGTTCTGGGGCCCTCCCTGGGAGCTGAGATAGGGTTGGGGGCAATGTCCAATCCTCCCAGTAGCTAATTCAGCTTATTAAACATCTTCCCTTTACTGACAATCTCAAAACCCACTATGGGTCCTTCCTACCCACAGCCCCCACACTCCTTCCATTCCTTTCACTTGTCCTCCCATCTTTAGCATGAAGACACATTATCTACCTGCAGTGAGAGCCCAGAACAAAAGGCAGAGCTGGCCCCAAGGCCCCAAGAGAGAACCTTGCCAAGGCCTAGGCCCCAACTTCCTTGAGTCTTAGCCCATACTCAGGGCTCTGCCCTCTCCCCAACATTTCCCAGCTGTACTTTGAGCTCCTGTTGGGAGAGTACAGTCTGTGGACCTCAGAAAGGGGAAAGCTGGAGGTCCTCACCTTTGCTCCCATGACCGCAATCTCTGCTGTGGGCCAGGCATAGTTGCTGTCACTACAAAGGTGCTTGGAGCTCATGACATCATAGGCACCTCCATAGGCCTAGGAGAGAAACAATTTCTAAATGTTAGATCCTAGGACAACCAGTTCATGTCCCTAATAGACCCAAAGAAGCCAAGAAATGGGAACAAAGACCAAGAATAATCCTCCTGAGGTCCAGAAGGCTCCATATCTGCAAGGCCAGGGAGTCAAACCAGAGAGACATGGGCAGAGCCCCAAGGCCCTCTGTAGTGAACATGATCGTCTTTTTCTTGCTTTTTCCCAATGCTGCTTTCTGTTCTCATGTGTTAAAAGACCACAGACATTTCTTCAAGGTGGGAAATGTTGCCTCAAGAGATCTTTTCCAGAGTGAAAATAAGGCACACTCCTCCATCTGGCCCTGATGAAACTCTTGGGCAGGCCTGCAACCATGGTGTGCTGCAGGAAGACAGAGCACCATTGTCTCAAAATAAGTTCCTTACCTTCCTGGTGATGACCGTGACCTTGGGGACAGTTGCCTCAGCAAATGCATACAACAGCTTAGCGCCATGCCGGATTATGCCCCCGTACTCCTGTGCTGTGCCTAGGTCACGAGAAAGTGTTACCAAACACCCACAGAGGTCCTCATGAGGCCCACCCACGACTCTCAGTTGTGAGATCTTCCCTTGCCTCCCTAAACAGCCATGAGAACTTGGGACCATCTATCAAGCTCAACTGGCATAACATACTACACAAAAACACTGGTAAACATCCTACTTTGGTGAGTAGCAACTGGGATCTTAAAAGCTAGCAAGCAGCCATCTAGATGCAACGATGGGTCTCTCCTCATCCAGAGCAAAGAAGAATGAAGAAAACCAAAGATACACAGAAACAATTAGTCCAAGGGACTGGTACATCATGCAATCCTCAGCCTATACAACTATGAGACCAGAAGAACTAGATGGTGCCCAGCTACCACTGTCAACCACTCAGAGAGGGATCTATGTAGAAGATCCTGCATGGAGTGCGAGAATAATGTAGAACAAAATTCAAAATCATTAAAAAAAAAAAAAAAAAAGACCAGGTTTGCTTATCTGACAGAGCCTGGTGGAACCCCTGAGAGTACAGCCCCTAGCTGACCTTTAGGTCTGGAATTGGAGACCCAGAATATGAAGAAGACACAAATACTTAAGGAATTCTACAGTAAGATATCCAAATGAAGTGGGTACCTTACCGGGCATACCACCCTCTGCTGGCCCCCACTCTGTCAATGACTTACCAGGTAGAAATCCAGGGACATCAACAAAAGTGATGAGTGGAATGTTGAATGCATCACAGAACCGGACAAAACGAGCCCCTTTCACAGATGAATTAATATCCAAACAGCCTAGAAATAGAGAGATTATCTAGGCTGTTGTTGTTGTTATGTGCCGTCGAGTCAAATCCAACTCATAGCGACCCCTCCTTGGGTTTCCGAGGCAGTATCACTATGGAAGTAGGATTGCCCAACCTTCCTTCCAAGGAGTGGCTGGTGGGTTTGAACCACCAGCCGTCTGGTTAGCAGGCAAGTGTCTTAGCCACTATGCTACCAGAGCATCTAGACTGAGCTTCTAGGAAATTCCACTCACAATGGAACTATGTCCTCAGCAATCATCCAGAGCTGGTTTCTTTGGAGGCACCAATGTTTCCTCATCTCAGAAGACAATGGAAAACACTCTGGGAAAAGAGGGCCCAGGAATAGCCTCCTCTCACTCCAGGCTCTCTTCCTGGAAGCACAACCCAGTGCAAGTACCCAGGCTCTGCCTTTAGACTGAAGAACCACTGTGAGCTCTGTCGTGGATTGAACTGTGTCCCCCAAAAACATGTGTCAACTTGGCTGGGCCATGATTCTCAGTGGTCTGGTAGTTAAGTAATGATGTAATCATCCCCCATGATGTGACCAGCCAAGATCCTGTATGTGTGGCCTGTACCACCTTTTATTTTACAAGAGATAAAAGAAGAGACAAGCGAGAAGAGGGATCTCCTACCACCAAGAAAGAAGAGCTGAGAACAAAGCGTATCCCTTCAACCTGTGGTCCCTGTGCTGAAAACTCAACTCAGTTTCCACTGAATTGATCAATGACAGGGATCTTACCCTAAATCTGACAAAGAAACCCTTCCTTTGTAGCTGGTACCCTGAATTTGGACTTCTAGACTCCTAAACTGTGAGAAAATAAAGCTCTGTTTATTAAAAACCATCCACTTGTGGTATTTCTGTTACCCACCAGCCACTCCTCAGAAGGAAGGTTGGGCAATCTACTTCCGTAGTGATACTGCCTGGGAAACCCAAGGAGGGGTCACTATGAGTTGGGGCCAACTCAACAGCAGGGTGTTTGGTTTGCTTTGGTTCATCTAGCACTAGTAAGACAGGCTGACATGCAGTCTGCTTGCCACAATGGAACGATCAATGGCAAGTATCATTTGGGAGCTGCTCTGAGAATACACATAGCTTGGAATCAGATTCTGGATCCACCAGATATTGTCAAGTGTCTTTGGGAAAATTACCTTTCTGAGCCTGAGGTTTCTCACCTGCAAAATGGGAATGTTATTACCTCCTAACATAGTTGTAAGAACTAAAGGAGATGGTATCAATAAACTGTTCTCTTTAAAGTAGGAACTCAATTACTGATAAATCTCTCCTTCTACAACAGTTCCCGATCTATTTTCTGATCTCAGCATTACCCTGATATCAAAACATTATAAAAATAGAAGAATAAAAATGAAAGTCCCTCATGAA